ACCATAAAAATGTCTAGTAAAGATTATTAAATTATACGACCGAATTTTTTCTCAGCGACCTCAAAATTTGGTCCATAATACTTTGACAATTTATTGTGTTCATACAAATCCATTAATTTTTTTACTTCTTTATTTTCGTTAGACACTAAAAACGAATCAATATTCTTATTGGGCTCCAATTCAGTGAAAAGCTATCATGTTTGTTTATCTTATTTTGGTACAAGCATCCAGTTTGGAAAATCAGTCACGCGAGTTATGATCGATGACCCCATATACCTTTTACAGGAAAACAGTATCTGGTTGCCGGCAGTGTAAATGAACCTATGTGAACTGTGTGTGAATTGGTGACTCTATTTTTTTTTCCTAGTAACATTTTAATAAAATAAAGGCAGTCTGATATCATAGCTTGTAACGATAACATTATCCTTAAATACTAAATATAATTTATTTTGGGTTTTTATTCAAGCAATAGTAATAAAAATTCTTTTTAAAAACATTCCTTTCAACGAGATACTTATAAGTGGCGCAGTCAGTAGGATTTTCGTCGGAAAAATCCATCGTGGAAAATCCGTGAGTTTTAACTTTTTAACGAAAAACCGAATCCAATCAAGAAATTCCAGTTCCTTTGGGCTCCATCGAGGAAACCAGTGGGCAACAGAAAAAGTACCAGCCGCAGAAGCAATATACCGATGTGGTAAGTTTTAATTCATGTCAGACTCCTCTTCTCCTAGCGAATCCTTAAGCGAAATCGATAGTATAGAAGAGTTAGATTATATCAATAATATATTAGATTCAACTAACGTAGATTCAGAGTTAATAAATAATTTTAATAATTTAATTATTGTTGAAAACATGGTCGTGCCGGTATTAGATATGAAAAGTTTAACTGTTATTTCAACTTTTGACGGAAACGTTAATAAATTACATAGATTTATCAATATAACCGAATCAATTTTAAATCATTATTATGATAGGGAAAATCCTAATAATTTTCAAAATGTTTTAGTATTAAATGGTATTTTAAATAAGTTGGAAGGTAGAGCTGAGGAAGTAGTGGCAATTACCGGTGCCGATACTTGGCCTGATACAAAAAAATGCATTAATCGAAAATTTTGGCGATGAAAGATATGAAAATTGTTTAAATCAAGATTTAGTCAATATGAAGCAGGGAAATAACAAATCTCCTTATGAATTTCACAAAAGAATGATCGCTTTGCTTAATACAGTTTGCAATTACATTGATTTACATTGCCAAGGGGCCGAACGAGATTCAAAAAAATCATTTTTCACTAAACAGGGTTTAAAATCATTTTTAGCTGGGTTAAAAGACCCATTAGGTCCTATAATTCGTGCATTGAGACCGACAACTTTGCAACAGGCAATTAAATTTATACGAGAGGAAAATAATGTTAAATATCGAAGAGGTCAAAATTATTCTAATTCAAATCAAACAGCTAGTAATATCAATAATAATTATAATCGTCCAAATTCATTTCAATTTCCCCAAAATTCTAGAGATCATTTTCAAAATTATTCACAACCCTCAACCACATCTCAATTCCCCATAGGGCCTATTCAAATTCAAAGACATCCAAATCCTCCTCAAACTAGATTTCCAACAAATAATCAAGTTTTCGGAAAACCACAAAATGTATGGAAACCAAATTCCCATTATGTCCAACCCAAAGCTACCCCTATGAGTACAACGACAAGAAATACTACACCCCAAGCTCGAAACCAAGGTTATAATAATTTTCAAAATTTTAATCAGAAACGTAATTTTGTTTCTGAAGAATTATTAAACGCCGAAATTTTACCTGAACGAAATAAGTGACTTTGACAAACAAAACTTTGAATACGTAGATGACGAATATGAGGATTTTCAGAGAAATGCCTCAACGGACCACAAGACATAATAGAACTTAACGTTTCTCGGATAAAAAAGAATTACCCTATATAAAAATTTCAAATCCACCCCTTATGCTCTTAATAGATACAGGTGCTACTAAATCATTGAAATTGCATTAAAATTATATAAAGAAAAAATATTTAAAGAACCTTTATTGTTTCATCTGTTTATTAAACGTCTACTCATCAAAATTGTGCAAATATTTCGATATTTCCAGAATTTAATCAAAATGGAATTTTAAAGTTTCACCTCTTTGATTTTCATAATGTTTCCGACGTATTAATAGGTTTGGAGCAATTAAATCTGCTTAATGCTCAATTACATTTTGTAAACTCAAAATTAATTACCCCCAATACAATTATACCAATACATTATCTTGTAAATAAAAGAAAAATTATTTTTGAAATAGTAGTATTTTAACAAAAATTCCAGTATCACAAATAGAAGGAGATATTCTAGTATTTTCTACAGAAAAAATTAACCGTTAACTTTTACAAATCAAATTAAGCATAGTATAAGGACTAATGATGAATTACCGGTTTATACAAAATCTTATCGATATCCATTTGCACTCAAACAAGAAATTCAAAGGCAAATACAAACCATGCTAGATCAAGGTATTATTAGACATAGTAACAGTCCCTGATCCTCAAATGTCTGGATTGTGGCGAAAAAGGCTGATTCCTCTGGCAAAAAGAAATATAGAATAGTTGTAGATTTTAGAAAATTAAATGAAAAAACGATCGACGATCGTTACCCTATACCGAATATCAATGATGTGTTAGATAAATTAGGGAAATGTAATTACTTTAGCACCCTTGACTTAGCGAGTGGATTTCATCAAATAGAGATCAGTCTAGAAGATATCCCAAAAACAGCTTTTAATGTTGAAAATGGGCACTATGAGTACACTCGAATGCCAATGGGTCTGAAAAATGCGCCTGCCACCTTTCAGAGAGTTATTGATAATATTATCAGAGGGTTACAGAACGAAATATGTTTAGTTTATCTCGATGATATTATAATTTTTTCAACCTCATCACACAAACACATAACTAACCTTGACAAGGTTTTTCAAAGACTTAAAGTTACCAACTTTAAATTACAACTTGACAAGTGCGAATTTCTAAAGAAAGAAGTCGCATATTTGGAACATATCATTACCCCAGACGGTGTTAAGCCTAATCCTGACAAAATAGCCGCGATCAAAAAGTATCCGATACCTAAAACAACGAGAGAAATAAAATCGTTTCTAGGTTTGCTCGGGTATTATAGGAGGTTTATTACTTTGCCAGACTGACGAAACCTTTGACAATGTGTCTCAAAAAGGACGCAAAAATAAAACATACACCCCAATTTATAAAATGTTTTGAAACATGCAAAAATCTGCTGATAAACGATCCAATTTTACAATATCCCGATTTTAAAAAGAATTTATTTTAACTACTGATGCGAGCAATGTTGCTCTCGGTGCAATATTGTCACAAGGTATTATTGGCAAAGATAAACCCGTTGCGTATGCCTCTAGAACTCTTAATCAGTCTGAGCAAAACTACAGTACGATCGAGAAAGAATTATTAGCTATTCTTTTGGCTACAAAAATCTTTAGACCGTATCTGTGGGGTCGAAAGTTCACTATACAAACTGATCATCGAGCATTAAAGTGGCTGATGAATCTAAAAGAACCAAATTCGAAGCTAGTTAGATGGCGCTTAAAACTAGAAGAATTTGATTACGAAATTGAGTATAAAAAGGGCAAAGCAAATACTAACGCCGATGCCCTCTCTCGAGTAGAAATAAACACTAATGAATTAACTGATTATAATATAGAAAATTTTATTGAATCAATATTAAATGAAAGACAAGACGAAGATAATTATTCAGTAATAGCTAATATGGGTGACGAGCAGTCCGGGCCTTATTTTCAGTGTTTTAACGTGGGCTTTATTTTCAGAGGTTTTTTGTTTTAGATGCGTAAGTACAATTGCCGAGGTTTACGTGCCAACTGGGATAAAGAGATAATGGAAGACGCACTTAGGCTTTTACTGCAAGGATATTCTCAAAGAGCTGTAGAACAGCAAACAGTTATTCCTCGTCGTACTTTAAGAAATCATTTAAAAAGTGGTGTTGTAAGTAGGACACTAGGACGTAAACCTATTTTAACGGAAAACCAAGAATCCGAAATAGAACAAAGGATTATTTGTCTAGCACAAATTGGCCGTTCTCTTACACCAAAAGCTCTGAGAAGAAGTGTTTACAAGTTTGTTAGTGTTAATCAAATCGATCTGTTCCAACAGAAAAACAATAAAAATATAATTGGCAAAGACTGGTTCTCCGCATTTCTTAAACACCACCTACGTATTAGCAAACGAAAAGCACAAACAATGAATCCAGCCAGATCTGCTAAATTAAACCGCCCTGTAGTAAAACAATATTTTGAATTATTGGATGCGACATTACAACAGTTTGATTCACGATGCCAAGATTAAGTCGACAATTAATATACTCTATTTGTAGGTCCCGGCGAGTAGACGAAAGGTGAGAAGTAATAGAGGGGATAAAGAGTAGAATTTTATGCAGATACAACTTTTTTATCAAAGAATAAATGTGCGCTTATAAACAACGTAAATATCCATGCCACTTCCAACCTAACATGACTAGGTTTTGGAATTTATTGAAAATGATCTTATTTAGTGAAATTACATCTAATTTAGTTAAATTTGATATAACTAATGATTCACAATTTTTAAGGTTCAGTTGCAATAAAATAGGTTGCATTATTTTAGCTTTTTTAATATATGTAAATAATTTTGTAAACAAAACGAGAATAATGAAATAGGCATATGCCAACAGCGGATATTATCCCTTAGAATTATCCTATGCTAATACATTTGCTAACGCAGCCTCAAGCCTCCCTAGTACGTTCGTGAGTTCACATATGAAATTATTATAGTTAGCTACCGTACTCTTCTATTGTCTTAAATATCCTTATTTGAAAAGTTAAAAGTACGGTGCTGAATATATTTACGTAATAGATAAAAATACACAATTAATACTACATAAGTAGTTTATAATTGTAATATTAGATAAGGAACGATTTCATCACATTATCAAATTTAGTCATTAGTTATAGTGCATTGAGATAAAATGTCTGTTGAATTAAATGAAGTGCAAAAATGTTTAATAGACAAAATAGCAAAAGAAAATGGATTTAATAACTACGAACTAAAAACCAATAAAGGTTCAGAAAAAGGTGATAATTTTTTGGGTATTCTAACTACGGTTACTATAAAAAATGGTAAAGATAAACTAGACTTAATATTAAAATCAGCGCATCAAAATGAAGCCTTCCGAAAAGCAGCTCCTTTACGATCAGCTTATTTGAGAGAAATTTATTTGTATGAAAATGTTTTTAATGAGTTCAAGAAGTATCAGGAAAACCATAATGTAGCTGATATTTTTGACAATTACGCCAAAATATATGGATCTTCAATCGTCGAAGAAAGTGAATGTTTGATACTGGAAAATTTAAAAACACAAGGATATCAGCTGTGGAATAAACAACAACCCATGAACTCGGAGCATATATCGGCCGTTCTACAAGGTTACGCAAAATTCCATGGTACTTCCATGGCGATGAAACATAAGAATCCAGAATTGTATGAAAATATTACTGAAGACATATCGAGTAGTATATGGGAAAATGATGAATTTGTGGCTAACAAAGATAAATTTGATTCGTTCTTTAGAACAGTGATGAATATCGGTTATAAAAGCATTGAGGATGATCCTGCTTTAACAGAATTTCTAAAAATTCTAGAGCCGCAGTTTTCGGATATGTTTTCTGATGGACTAAAAGATCCTGAATACAAAACATCCATAGTTCATGGTGACTGTTGGTGCAATAATCTTCTATTCAAATACGAGGTAAGTAATTAAGATATATCTGCGTGTTTAAAGCCTTTTTTAAATTTTATTAATTTAATTATATATCAAAGTATTTATTAGTGAATTAAGTCAAAATGTCATTCAAGATAAACTAAAAGCCAAATTTGATTTTAATTTACTTCAATGGCATACTTTTTAAATCGTATCTAACATTTTTATGCAAGAAAACTTGATTGTTCCCCTGTATCTCATTACTCATGACATACCCCATACACGAAAATAAGGGGTCATCCATAAATTACGTTAAGAGAGGAGGAGGGGGTCGACGAAGTTTGGCATTGTGTAACAAGGGGTGGGAGGAGTCTTACATTTCGTGACGTAACATTTGTAAAAAACTTTGTAAAAATAATACCGACTTAGCATCAGCTCTAAAACTTCGAGATACTGTTGGTCGGCGTAAAGTAGAAGAACACGAATCCGGTATACTTGAAGTCATAAAGGATATTACAGTTTTTATTGGCGAAGCTGATGAACGACGTCGCACTGAAACTATAAGGTGCTTCAAAACATTGGACGATTTACAAGCCGAACTTTGTAAACAGGGATAATGTATTAGTCGATCAGCGTTTTACTTCAGACTTCTTCTCAGACGAGTCAATACAGAGGAAGGAAATAGACACGTCGTAACAGTTCCTGTTAAACTATGCAAACCAGATTCTACACTACATTTGAAACATAAAGATGGTACATTTTGTACTGCTACGATAAGAAACTTTTAATCTTTAGCTTCAATTTTGGGCCCTAATCAATGATTTTTAATCAATGGATGACAAAGTACGCGCGGCTTTAGGTATTATAGCAGCAAATGCCCAAGTACCTAATGTACCTTGATTATCTTGTAAAATTACCGGATCATGATTTCGTGGTCGCGGAAAAACATAAACTTATTCCTTCTGTTTATCCATGTATTGTAATAAAGAAAGCATTCTTCCTCTAATGAAGAGACTAATGCCACAGACATACATAGACTTTCTGAAACAGTTGCTTTCAATAACTTTATGAGAACTCGAGATGGTTTTGTAAAACCTGTATTTATTTTTACTTGCGATGGTGGTCCCGGCGAAAATCCACTATACGAGCGAGTCATAGTTTCAGCCATACAACATTTTAAAAATTTTGACTGGGATGCTATTTACATTGCCACAAATGCTCCAGGAAGAAATGCTTTCAACAGAGTGGAACGACGAATGGTGCCTCTTAGTCGCGAACTTACTGGTATTCTATTAAAATATGACAATTTTGGTTTACATCTCGATTCCAGTAATCAAACTATTGTCTTGAAGTTAGAAAAACGAAACTTTGAAAGTGCAGGCATTGTGCTGTCTAATATTTGGAGCTAATTGGTCACTGATGATTTTCCTGTGGTTGCCGAATACATTGTGCCAACAGATACTAGATTGGATATTGAACAGGCTAAGGTATTGAAAAATGATTTGACTTGGTATGCAAATCATGTGCTTGAATCACAATATTTATTATAAATAGTATAATGCGAGATTGTCCCTTGTTGTGGTGTGTAACGATCTAGCCTTTGGCGACTATTACGAGTGGGGTTTTTACTACCACCTGTTTTAGTTAGACATACGTCAAACAGGTATGTAACCATAGAGAAAGATGACTTCGAAGGTAAATTTGCTCTACTGTTACTTCAGCTATCTTTGGATCTCCGAGCATCATCATATTTGAAGCAAGTTTCGTATGATAGCTATTGTCACAGTGTCGAGGCATAATTGTTTAAGCGATCGTGTGGCATCTCTGGTCTATATTTTGCATCATACAAGGCCACTAACCAACACAAGCAATCACATAAGAGGCAACAAGAAGTTTTGCCCATCGCGAAGATTTATCCTCAAAGAATTGCTGCCATAGATAAATTAATAAACAAGATAAATCGTTTAAATGCACGGCACTGGTAACAAGTGTTTTAGGTGTTTAGTTCCTCAGCTTACTACTTGGAGCCACCATCGCATTAAGATGAAAGCGATGTTGCCAGTTTCCATAAACTTTCATGAGATTAGAATTATTTCAAACACATTATGCTGTTTTTTGGTCAAGCTCGATACCATCCATACAATGGCATACTATTGCATACTATTGATGGGATATTTTAAAAAGAAGTTTGACAACCTTGTAAAAATGAAAAACAGAATGGCGGCGGAAGGCGAAATGGCCAAACTACAACATTATAAGTAAATAAAAGTTATTTTATGAAAGTTATTTTTAGGTTAAGAAGATTTATAAGTGATGATTTGATGTAATTAGTAAGTATTAACAATTTAATTCAATATTAGGTGTTTGTTTAAGGACTTTGTTTATCATTGTTTTCTTAACTCAAACACGAAATACAGGTAATTTCATTTTGAATCTATTTTTAATTATTTTTTTAATATATTTGTAACAATATCAAAACATGTCTGGTCCGGGTAAAGCATCGAAGGGTATAACTAAGTATTCTTGTTTAGCTCCTAATTGTTTAAATAGGTATTCTAATATTCAGCAAGCTGGTTATTCAAATAAAACCTTTTTTCATTTTCCTTCTAAAGTTAAAATTCGAGAGAACTGGTTTAAGAATTTAAAATTATCTTTTGATAATAAAACTCTCTATCTTTGTGAAGATCATTTTTTGCCAGAGTCTTTTAGCAAAATTGCCATAAAACGTAAACGACTAATTGTAAATGCTTTTTTCAGAAAAAATAAAATAAAAAAGCATCCTCAGTGTGTTAGTCCACTACTTTACCTCCCCATGGTGGGATGCGGGCAACAGTAAACAAAAAGCAAATTCTCGAAATAAGATTTTTTCAAACCTCGGAGTTGCTGCTCTTCATTAACTTGTACCAGAGATAACCAGGAGATATAACTACTAACAAATATCGTGCGGCCGTGAATAAGACATATTCTAAGGGACACCGTAGGACATAATATCCGCTGTTGTCATTGTTAGTAAAGTGTATATGTATTAAAATATTCGCTCAAGAAAACGATTCACTTCCCACTCTTTTGTCACAAGGCTGAATTTTTCACAGATGAAAGGTCATGATAAGGTAACCCTTATTCCGGAGTTAATACAAAATTAGAGTGTGCAGAAGGGCATTATCATCAAAAATCCAGATATTGATACCACCGAATAGAGAAAAAAATACTCATTTTTTGATCAAATGCACAATAAAAATCTTTGTAGGGACTAATTGTTCATACTTATTTAAAAAAAATCATTTGCATTAGCACTTACGGCCCAAAAAAAAATATAAACGTAAATATCTTGGTTTTAGCCCGTCAAAAATTTAGTTAAAAAGTCGTCTTTTTTAAATATACCACTCATTTAACAAAAAACGAAGGCCTAAATAAAAAAAAACATTCTTTATAAAATTTTTGCTTATGTGTTGATAAGGTAACAGAGTAAACACCATATTTTTTGCTTTTGAATTAACAAAGATATAACAATAAACGATGAGAGATGTCATAGGTTTATGCCGTTATTAATTCTCACCGCCAAATTTATCGACTCTCAGTGTATCTTTCTCTTCACCTTCAAACGTAGCATAGCTCTGTTTCTCTCTACGTGCCGGCTGATGTATCACATTATTGATATGGTAGGATTTTTCATTTTTTTTATTATAAAACTTCTCGTTATGTTCCATTGGGCAATGTGTCATATTGTTATCTGTTTTTACTAAAGAATTAATAAGTGTATGTGTTATATATTAAATTACCTAATAAATTGGGAAAAAATATAGACATTTTTGCATCTTTATTATATCTACATTCATCCTGTTGCAGCTGAATATATTTGGGTAAGTTATAAGTTTTCGTTTAAAATTTTAATTACGGATTTGTTGCTGCAAGTAGCAAAGACAAAAATTATATCAAAATAGGAAAGCCTAAAAGTTGCATATCATTTAAAGAACATGCTCATATATTTGTAAACATTATTTTTAGAAATAAATTTAATGTTCAAATGATAGATGTGGTATTTGATCATTATAAAGGACATTCTATCAAAAATACAACACGTCAAAAGAGAGGATTTCAGAAATCAATTGATATAGAAATTGACCGACCCAATATTTCACTTCCGCAATAATAGAACTTGTTTATTCATTCGATATTTAACAAAAGACGTTTAACATATTTTTTGCTAGAGCAACTTCTTCAAAACTCGCGAAAATCAATAAATATGGAAAGAATTTTGAACCATCAAAAGACGATTTTTTAAATTCAAATCACGAAGACGCTAATAATCGTATCTTATTGCACATATTGTCAGCCAAAAATTCTGGGCATTCACGCTGCATTATTTATTGCAACGATACAGATGTCTTATTAATTTATTTTAAGAAGTTTTTGTATAAAGATATATGGTTCCAAACAGGGCGAGGAGACTCAAGACGATTTCTAGCAGTACATTATTTAAATTTGGATGAAAACCTTCTAAAAAATGTGCCTGCTTTTCATTCTCTGAGCGGTTGTAATACAACCAGCTAATTGTCCGGCATTGGGAAAATAATCTGTTGGAAAACCTACCTTGAACACCATTACCTTTTGGATGGATTTGGCATTGATCAGTACTCTGAAAACATATTCTCTAATCTTGAAAGAATTTTCACTAGTAATACCACTAGAGGTCAAATTATTTCCGGAAATTTTTTCGAGCTCATGAAATTTTCTAAAAATATTCATGAGCGAGAAAAAATTTCCTGATATTAATTTGACCTCGCGTGGTATTCGGTAAGAAAATTCCACGCCGAATTATGGTTGAAAATTAAATATTTTTAAAATTTATTTTTCGTTTCTCAACAATGCAAATTATTTTCTCCAAGTCACCAGTGAAACATAAAAGGTGTTGTCGCCTTGATTGTTGAGTTGTCATGGTAACTAAGTGAGACCCTAACCTCGAATATAATTTCAGTTTTGAAGTTGTCAAGCGGCTCGACGTAAAAAAATGTTTCGCTGCAATTTTAGGCCTTCAAATTGCTTATTTC